AGGGAGCCCGATGTGGGGCTCGATCCCAGGACCCTGGGATCATGACCTGAGCCGAAGGCAGACGCTTAACGACTGAGCCACCCAGGCACCCTACCTTGCTCAATTCTGAAAAAGAAAATAAAACATTAAGAAAAAATCACACACACACACACACACACACCACCTCCACATGATTTACACACACACACACACACACACCACCTCCACATGATTTACTCCCTTTTGGGTTGCTATTTTTAAGAGTAGCCATGTACTTGATAAGACATTGCAGTGTCTCTCCATAGGGCTTCAGACCTTTGTGTAACAATGTTGTCATCGTGTACCCATTTGTATTGTCTGGGGGCTATTCATTTCCAATTTCTGCTATTCTGTTTTCTGGGAAAGGGTAGGCAAAAGCTGGTTCCTTCTTTGCCATCCAGGGTCTTTCAAAATAATAGTTATGCATTTTAACTATAGTCTGCCTGGAGGAAGCACTGCTATCTTGGATTTCCTGATGATTTGGAACAGCATTTTATTTCTCTCCCTTTCTAGAACTCTTATCTTTGTCTCTAGTGCTTTTTGGAAATGGGATTAAGCGAGGGGTGTAATAGTGTTTTTGTCTTTTTGCTCTTTTTTTAAAATTTTTTCCTGAATGAAAATAAGAATTAAAAAAAAAAAAAGAAGCTGTTTCTGATACGTTCCTAGGTATTTAACAGCCCAAATACCTCAGCCGTGGTAGTACAACGGTCTTCTCCTAAGGCACACAGACATCATAATCCTCACTATCTCCAGGTTGACTGTGCCCTTTGAAAACGAGTTACACATTGTTGATTACCATGCATTGTTTCCACCCTTAGCTGAGAAATGTCAAAGTCTAATAATTATTCTGAAATGAGAATGTCAAACTTGGTTCTCACCAGCCATGGAAGATTAATTAATGATAAAACGATTTTCCAGGCACAGGCAATCCCCACCAATTGATGAGAGTTTGCATGCAAGAAAGACACCTATTTTCCATTCCTGGTCTAAGATCTAGGGCACTGAGTGACTTTCATCGTTGCACTGTTTAGTGTAGTTTTAAAATAGGATCTGGTTATTGGTCTGCTTTGTGGCAAGCATAATTTAGAAGAACAAAAATAAAAACAAACCAGTGGAGAGATACCAGGCATTGTATTTTTACCAAGCTCCTCACTTGTTCTTATAAAGCATTAATAGCCAGGCCTTCTGCTAGGGAGGATTATCCCCTCTTGATAATTTCACGTTTTAGGAAGATGGGCTCCCTGGCTCTCTGGACACAGCGTTGTCACGCATGAGTGACTTTGTTCTCTCCCACTCCCTGCTGATGCCAAGCACCACTCAGCAACCTGAGAGCCCGGGTGTGGTCACCTTCGCTGAACGCAAGCACATAGGTTGTTGAAATCGCTTCTTCCAGAATGGGGACGTAAACCCGGAGTAGGAAAATGCAGTTAGAATTGAGCTGTAAATACCTGGATGTCGCTTCACTGGGCTGGTGTCATGGGCCACTGTGAGCCCCCATTTGGGACCCGGTGCCCTGGGAAGCTACACTAAAGATCTGCCTCATCTGGTTTTGCCCTCTGTGGGCACCTTGCGTTCAGTTAGATTTTGTCTCTTTTTGCCTGATTTCACTGTGTGTGTGTGTGTGTTTAGGGTCTCTTCCCAGTGATCTGTAACTTACCAAAAATCACCTATTTCCCCTCAAAATTCTTCGTTTAGCAATAAGCGTGAAGAAGGATAATGGGGGAGGGCGCCTGGGTGGCTCAGTTGGTTAAGCGACTGCCTTCGGCTCAGGTCATGGTCCCGGAGTTCTGGGATCGAGTCCCACATCGGGCTCCCGGCTCAGCGGGGAGCCTGCTTCTCCCTCTGACCCTCTCCCCTCTCATGCTGTTTCTCTCTCTCTCTCTCAAATAAATAAATAAATAAAATCTTTGAAAAAAAAAAAAAGGATAATGGGGGAAATTATGCACATAATTGTTGTCCTTTTGCCAAAACAAAACCTTTCCATGTGGGAATATTTCTCAAGTCTGTACTATAAAATCCTAATTAAGTAATGGTTTTTGGCACTTGTAAATTATCGTTACCAGTATTTAACGCATGTTTTCTCCCATATTTATGTTTCAGTGGCTATAAAACACAGTAAAAACAAATCCAGCCCCCCAGAGGCTATACAGGTGCTTTCTTCAGTTCGACTCAATTTACAGGGCCTGTTATCTAAAGCAAAGGTGAGAGTGATTTAAAATGTGATTTAACTCAAAGTGTCATAGGAAGAAGGGTCTCTAGCATGAGCTGACTGCTCTTAAATCTTCTTTTTTACGTCAGGGCTGATTTTAGGCCCACGTTACGTTTTCGCTATCAGCCCCCAGGGGGTAGGTTGGACTGGTGGGGGTGTTACTGGCCCAATGGCTAGACTCCTGTGGGTAACTTGGGAGTCTTTGAAATTAATACTTGTAACCCAGCCCTGCTGCTTTCTTGAATTTAAATTAAAACAATGCTCTTCTTATTGTCACTTTTTCCGAAGTGTGACATACATGCCCCTGATAGCGCTTGGCTGAACTTTCGATTTCAGTGTGTATTTATTTCAGCACATGTTAGAAAAACTTTAACTAGCACCTCAGATCTACATTTTCGTGAATATTATTGCTTATTTTTCATTTGCAGTAATGTAATGTTTCCTCTAAAAAAAGACTTTTATTTAAGAAGCTGATTTCGAAGCCCGGTGATGGGTATTAAGGAGGGCACGTACTGCTTGGAGCACTGGGTGTTATACGAAAACGATGGATCGTGGACCACCACATCAAAAACTAATGATGTATTGTATGGTGACTAACATAATATAATAAAATTAAAAACTACAAAAAAAAAAGCTGATTTCGAAACAAATATTAAGTAGGTAGTATATGGATTTCACAAAGATTAAGGTCGGTGAGTGGCTCAGGTTTGACAACTAAAACATTTACCATCAATCTACAAATGCCACCTTGTGAACTAGCGCTGGGTTGGGGACACCTGAGAATCCCTGAGGGAACTGGTTTGGAGTCTGAACTCGGAGCGTCTACCTGTGGCAGGGCAGGTACGGGGCGGAGCCTGGGAGATCCCTGCAGCCAGGTGTGGATTATACCTCTGGAAGCAAACTGTAAAGGAATATAGTTTCTTTCTTTTTTTTTTTTAATTAATTAATTTATTTGAGAGAGAGAGAAAGCACGAGTGGGCCGAGGGAGAAGCAGGCACCCCGATGAGCAGGGAGCCCGATGTGGGGCTCGATCCCCAGACCCTGGATCATGACCTGAGCCCAACCGACTGAGCCACCCAGGCACCCCGAGGAATATAGTTTCTAATACAATTCAGTGCTTTCTTTTCTCATTTTTGCTTGCCTTCACTATTTAATCTTGGGTTGTAAATGAATTCTGACACTTCTGAGAGCAAGTCTATGGCAAGTGAAGTCACTTCAGGACACATGTAAAAACCTTCCCAGAGTAAGTATGTCTTTTTATTAATTGCTTGATCTTTTCTGATGAGGGCATCATTTTTGCCCCTTTAGATTATTAACTTGCTTTACTATCCTTTTAATCTGCAAGCTGGACCCAGTTTCTAATAATCTACCAGGAAGAACTGTATTTCCTCCCAGCTTGGTATGATAACTTCAGAATTTTGTATCTCAGAAGGCTGCACAGACTCTCAAAGAAAGTCAAGGTAGCAGGCTTCTCCTGTGACTTTCCTTCGGGAGATAGGTTTCCTAGTTAGTTTTGGTTAGATTACTAACCTACCCACGATTGTTTATTTCCTCAGGAGATAACTCTACTAGTTCCCTTATCTCTGTGCAAAGCTTTTTCTTATAAGTTATTACTTTTACATAAATCTGTACCTGCAAACCTAAATATCTTGTCTCTGCAGGTACTGCCCATCCTCCCTTTTGTGGAAGATCCCCAAACATTGAAAATGAGGCCTCAGAACATCATCTGTGTTTAGATTTTGTTCTCTTTAGATACCAACTGGGAAAATTTGCCTCCCAACGCCTCCTTCTGAAAGCCTGTTTTTGCTAGAGTGTTTGGGAGTCTCTGATTTTGTAGTAGATCATATGCCTTTCCTATTTTTTTAACAACTTGGGTTTGCTCAGCTGAATTGAGATCTCCAAAACACTTTTTTAGAACACTTTAAAGAGTGAAAATGAAATAGGATAGATAGCTCTATTAAATAGCTTGTAATAAGCTTGGTTTGTACCAATCTCTGATCTTTTCTTGCCAGGCCAGGGAGTTCATGGAAATAAACTAGAGCCTAGAGACTCACCTGAGACTCCGCCAGTACATGGGCTCCGCCCCCCCACCCCCCGGCCAATCGCTGTGCAGATTTGCTGCAGAGGGCATGAGGGCTGTTGGGGAAAATGCCGGAGAGCCTGGAGACAGGACAGATTTTACCACTTACACACTTTGGGATCCTCAGCAAATAATCCATTCTTTCTAAGCCCCAGTTTCTCTCTCCTTCCTCTTTAGTTTATAGGTGAGTGATGCAGATTCATGATGATTTGCAAGCACTATAATTCTTAGTAAAAATAAAATATGTGAGTCTAGGTTATTTTTCTAAAAGGTGTTTTCTCTACTGATCACATTGCGACGGCTCCTATGTCATTCTCTTATGAAATGTTGTGCACGGTGTGACTACATGGTAACGTGACAAATCTTTACTGAACATTGATGAAGTCCTGCGTTCAGTGAGTGCTCTTGGCTCCAAAAATCACTGTGTGAAACTCTAAGCTTGTCCCAGTGATTATACCATCACTCAAAACATCTTTGGGACTCCCTTTTTGGAATAACCATCAGAACAATTGTCATGTCTTATTATCTATGGTCATGATAGTAAATAGTCATATGGTAATGGTAAACAAGTCATCTAGTCAGGCCTGGTGAAAAAGATAGACAGTGGGACTTCTGGGTGGCTCAGTCGGTTAAGCGACTGACTCTTGATTTCAGCTCAGGTCATGATCTTAGGGTCCTGGGATCGAGCCCTGTGTCGGGCTCCATGCTCAGCGGGGAGTCTGCTTGAGATTCTTTCCCTCTGCCCTCTATCCCCATCCTGTTCACGCTCTCTCTCTCTCTCTCAAATTAAAAAAAAAAAGAAAGAAAAAGTATGTTGAGTAAATTACATTTCTGATCAACACACAAACACACACACATGCACACTGTGGTCATAAAATCCTGAAGCTCATTTTCTTGGGTGCCTATCCTGGCTCAGCAGGCAGTTCCAAATAGAGAGGCTCTCCAGAATGCCTCAGCTATGGTGGCATTATCGAAGTATGTTGCAATGTGCCTCCCAAGGCAATTCCTTTTACAGGAAGAGGGCACATTTATTTTTATTTTAATATGCTGGGCTTCTTTGCTTTTACCAAATCTTGATAATCTTTGTGGCCTCTGAGTCCTAAGCCGTAATAATTTTCAAATAATTGGCATAAAGGGGTATGATTTGTATGAGCTTGAACATAAAATATATTCATTTTGCTTATATACACAATGAATAGATTTGTTTTGTTTGGATGACAAATGTCCATTCATCCTGAAACCATCGTATGACATCAAAATGAATAACCAGGGGACACCTGGGTGTCTCAGTGGGTTAAGTATCTGCCTTCGGCTCAGGTGATCCCAGGGTCCTGGGATCGAGTCCCACATCGGGCTTCTTGCTCAACAGGGAGCCTGCTTCTCCCTCTGCCCCTCCCCCTGCTTGGGCTATCCCTCTCTCTGACAAATAAATAAATAAAATTAAAAAAAAAAATGAATAACTAGTGAATTCAACTGCAACTATTTTTAAGGGCAACCATTTTTAAGAGCAGAGCTCATTTGAATTTGTAAGTTCAGGCATGTTGTTTGATGCCTGGTTTAATTTTGCGGCTTGTACATTTCCAGGATGGTGAACAGAACAAACACTAACCATTGCTACTACCATGTGGTATTATTAGATACAGGGAATTTTAATTCTATCCTCTGTACCTATTTTATTTTAAAGAGATTGTCATTGTTTTGATAGTTCTCCTTTGTTCTTTATGTTGCAGCAACTTTTTACAGATGTGTCAAGTGGAGAAATTTCCAGGGAGTTAGCTGATGAAAAAGCAGCGATGGACGCCCTCGTCATAGAGCTGCAAGGCCTAAGCAACCAGTTTCGAAACCAGTACTGACCATCCTGGGAAGAGTTTTTGGAAAAGGAGCGCTCACCTTCTGAATTTCTCTTATACCTGTGTATCTGAAACACGAGATAATTGATTTTTTTTAATAAATTTCTCTTTAATGGCTAACATTTTTGTTTTGTGATTTTTCCACGTTTGGACTTTCCGAAGTACGTTAATTAAAAGTTCCCTGTTTCTTTAGGCTTAGTTGCAGTTGAATTTAGTATATTCTTTTGTATTCTGTGCTGAAGTATTTCGGCACTAAGAGAAAAAAATTACAGTTTTCTTTTTAGCATAGGGTTTATTCTCTCTCAGCCTAAAATGAATTAGAGCATCCTTTGGAAAGACTTAGTCTGTAACAGGGAAAAAAATCCACACACTACAAGTCTGTGGAATCATTGGATCGGCTGCATTATTATCCAAAAATGATAAAAGGTAGATAGAATGACAGAAATCTTTTTCCTTCTTGAGATTTTATATTTGTGTCAGAAAGGTACAGGCTTGGCTAAATTAGAAATGTGGGCATACTTTAGCTTCTAAATCAAGAAAATGCAAGAAAAAAAGTGACATAACCCAAATTTTGATTGAGCCATTAACCACTACTAACCAGGCTGACCCTTCTCATTTTGTAGACTGCCAGTCCTAAAGATGGTTGTTTAATAAGGTTATTGAGTGAAGACAGCCATAAATGCTGCCATATTACAAAAATGCCAAAGTAAAATGCTTTCTTAGTAATGTCTGTGGAAACAAATATTGAAGGCAGCAGCTGAGCTTAATAATCTTACTACAAAAGTCATAGTGAGGAATTCTCAGTCCTGGCTTGGGTTGCTGAATTTTGGGTCCCATGCATAAGTCATTTGACCCTTGCTTTTTATCTATGTTCTTATTTATAGAATGTGAATAATTTCTACCTCTGGCTTCTGTGAGTTTCAGCTGCCATTGGAAATTTTAAAATGCATACTCCACAAATAAAAGTATTCTGAACATTAAAAAAACAGTCTTTAAAAACTTTCATGGATGAATTTTAGTTATAAATGCTTACCAGTGCTTTTCCTTTCCTTAACCACCTGCTTTTCTTTTTTAGTACACAAGTCTAAAAAAAAAAGCAGTTTCTTTTATAGGAGACATAGTAGCTATGAGAAAGACCAGTAAAGTGAGCTCATAGCCTGAGTTAACATTAAATGTCCATTCAAATCTTTTATGGAAGCTGTTGGAGAGTAGGTGGGTAAATGGTTGGATGGATGGATGGATGGATGGGTGGATTGAGGTTTTAAGATGAACTCTTTATCAGTCCCCAGCTGTGATCCCCAATAGAAAATGGAACAAATACTTGGAAGGGCAAAGGTTTCAGGAATCAAATGGAAAATTGAAGAAGAGTTTCCAAGTATTAGAAGTTTTTAGTTCTCAGTTTGTTTTCCTTTGGCTTCAAGGTAGAAAGACATGAGTGAGTCTGAGTTGTCACAAACCAAGTCACAAAAGGATCATCTCCTTCCAGGCCTGTTCTCAAATGCTATGTTGAATCAGAGTTTCCAGGACAATGCCCTACACCCTCTTTTTTCTTGGAATGATCTCACAGAAGAGAGAGCTGTTAAATGGCTTCTTTTAAAGACATAGATCTGTTAATTATGTTTAATAATCTCATGTGAATGTTTAACATAATTGAAGAAAATGTATGGGGAGGTACTATGGTAAAATAGGAAAAGTTGGGGTTTTATCAAAACCTCATCTCTACCACCTCCTCACGCTTAATACTTAACACTCAGGTACTTAATTTCTTCATCTGTAAAGTGAATGTGGTGATAATAGTGCCTTCCATCAAGCTTTTAACATCTCTTAGAGCACTTTCACCCAGCTGCGGAATCAGTAATACAGTACCTTTAAAATGCTCTTTTCACTTACTGTAGGGTCTTTGATGCTTCATATTGCTAGATTATGACTTAAATATTTGCTATTTCCTTTTTTTAAAAAAAAGATTTTATTTATTTGACAGAGAGAGACAGCGAGAGAGGGAACACAAGCAGGGGGAGTGGGAGAGGAGCAGGGAGGACGATGCGGGGCTCCATCCCAGGGCCCTGGGACCATGACCTGAGCCGAAGGCAGACGCTTAACGACTGAGCCACCCAGGCGCCCCAATATTTGCTATTTCCAAACATCTTTTATAAATTTCAACTTTGGTTTTCGAATATCACTACTTTTGTTTTCGGCATTACTTCTGTGCATCGTCAGGTAGAAGAATATAAAAGATGTGATTCTTTAATATGAATAATCATGCCAATAGCTACAAGTTACGGAGCTCTCACTCCATGCACTACGTAGGTCTGTGATATCACCGGGAAACAAGCTCACAGTCTCTAGAAAGAGAAGGAGCCAGAACTCTCTCTACTTGCTCTGTTGGGGCTAGAAAAAGCTTCCAGTGGTCGGCTGGTTTCTGTCTTCTCTTTATCACAATGGGATGCCTGGAATGTTTGCCTGCCATTGTTTATAAAGTTCTTCAAGGAGAGAAATTCTGTGAAATCTCAGTTCTTAATAGCCTGTGGTCTATTATAGTCCTTTTTTTAAAGAAAATTTAGTAAAGCTTTTGTTAGCCTGTTTCCAAAGAGCCACATAGTAAATGGGGGTCCTGACTACAGAGGAATTAAGCCCCAATGGAATAAGAAATACCTTCTTTGTACCCAAACCTCAAAGTCAGGAAGCTTAGCGAGTCGATGCTGAGTCAGGGAAGCAGAGCCATGGGGCGTGCGTCAAGCGCTGGCGGGGCTCAGAACTATAGAAGCCTGGGTTGGACTTTGAGGTTTCTTTTCAGGGTGAGTGCTTGGCCTTTCCTCAGATGGAGCCTCAGTATGGTAAGGAGGACCCCAAACATTGAAAGCATTGAGTTACTTGTATATCAAGGCTATTCTTCATGCTGTACTTGTTTCTGTTGGAATTGCTATCAGTGTGCTTTTCTTTTTTTTTTTTTTTTAAAGATTTTTTATTTATTTATCTGAGAGAGAGAATGGGAGACAGAGAGCATGAGAGGGGGAGGATCAGAGGGAGA